TCTGTGTGTTGTATTTCCCTTGTCTGACTTCACCATTCATCTTAGCAGAATACAGAAGGAACATGAGAAAGACCAAAAACACATCTCTGGACACCGTGGTCACAGATTTCATTCTCCTGGGCTTACCTCACCCCCAAAATATGAGGATCCTCCTCTTCCTGGTCTTCTTCATCATTTACATCCTCACTCAGCTGGGGAACCTGCTCATTCTGCTCACTGTGTGGGCTGACCCAAAGCTCCATGCTCGCCCCATGTACGTGCTTCTGGGTGTGCTCTCATTCCTGGACATGTGGCTCTCCTCAGTCATTGTTCCTCGTCTAATATTGGACTTTACTCCTGCCAACAAAGCAATACCTTTTGGTGGTTGTGTAGCTCAGTTGTATTTCTTTCATTTCCTGGGCAGCACCCAGTGCTTCCTCTACACCTTGATGGCCTACGACAGGTACCTGGCAATATGCCAGCCTCTGCGCTACCCCATGCTCATGAATGGTAAGTTATGCACCATCCTTGTGGCTGGAGCTTGGGTGGCTGGCTCCATCCATGGATCTATCCAAGCCACCTTGACTTTCCGTCTGCCCTTCTGTGGGCCCAACCAAGTGGATTATTTTTTCTGTGACATCCCTGCAGTATTGAGACTGGCCTGTGCTGACCCAACTGCACTGCTGATGGGCGACGGCGGGCCTTCTCCACCTGTGGCTCCCATCTAACTGTGGTCACCGTCTACTATGTCCCCTGTATTTTCATTTACCTTCGGGCTGGATCTAAGAGTCCCCTGGATGGGGCAGTGGCTGTGTTTTACACTGTTATCACTCCATTTCTGAACCCCCTCATCTATACACTGAGGAACCAGGAAGTGAAGTCTGCTCTGAAGAGAATAGCAGGTCGAGGGGCTGCAAGTGAAAATAAGTAACTATAGGCTCAGGAACCACCTACATCACTGTCACGACTACTCTTTTGAGCTACTGCAGCATGTGGCAACATTCAATAAACTGTTAATGAATTAAACTCAATTTAATTCTATTTAGAAGAAACTTCTGAACTCTTTGGATTCATAATCTTTTCATCTCATTAAACTGGTTCAAAATGTTTTACATTATTTGTTTAGAAATATAAATATTTTACTTCTACCACTTCTATTTTGTTGTATAAGAAAATGCCTTATCAAAGCTTGAATAGAATGAGAATGTGTCAACCTCTTCAGAATTACATTATGCCAGAAAATGCAAAAGAGGAAAAAAATGGCATAATGTTTGGCCTAACCCTTTTTTCATTATTTCTGTCCCTAAACCCTAGACTTCTATAAATTCTGTTTCTTTGTTTGTGCATGTCATAAACATTTAAAAGCACTTAAACCTGAAAATACTGGACCATTTATATTTCCCTCCTGTCCCTCACTCTTCCCATGAGCTCAGACATTAAAATCTGTCTCCTTACTTTTAGAATGTCTCTCTTAATTCCTAAATAATCTTTTGTCCTTTTCCTTCCTTATCCACATCACAGTCAAAAGTATCCTTCTGAAACATACAGTTTGTAAGACTCTCCAATGAATGTAAAATAAAGCCAGTCTCCTTAATCTGGAATTTAAAGTCCAAAAAATATCTGGACCCAACAAACCTTGTTTCCCAAGACATCTCTACTCTCCTTTCCCTCTCCCATCCTCACTGCTTTACTACCATTCCTTGAGCATGCCCAATACTTGCTTGCCAACCTCTCTCTTCTATGTGGAATACACTTCCCATCCAAGTCCATATTGTCTAACTTCTTAGGGACTTTTCTTAAAAGAGTGTCAAACTATGCCTTCATAATTTCTTTTTTAAAAAATTTTTAATGAAGATCTTGGCCTTTATATTTCTTTCAACTGATTTCCTTCAATGCCCTGAACCCCAGAGTACACATGCAAGTAACTCTTAAGACATATGGATGGTTCTGATTTCCCAAAAGAAAATATATGGCACACTCAAAACAAGATAATTTGAGGAGGGTTTCTATTTACAAAGATGTGGGATTAAGGGAATCACACACAAAAAAATTGAGTAATCTGGGGCTTAGTGACATTCAAACTATTTACCACCCCTAGACCAGATAAGACAAAGGTGGGGGAAATTAGGAGAGCCAGGAGGAAAAGGGTCTCATAACTTTCCCAAGTCCTCTCCTCCAGAGTAATGACACACTTATATACAGCCCTATAGATGTCTAGGTTTTCCTGAGCTACATATGTAACAGTGAACAATTACCCTGAGGTAGGGTATACTCTTGTTGATGAGGGTATCTTCTACCACCACTCTTTCGGTTATTTTTTCCAGGAACAAGATCTAAAGAGAATTTAACTGCCACAGTGAGAACATGCTCCAGACATCTGAGTATCGTATGGCTCTGGAAACTCCACAGACACCACAAGGACTAGAAAATAACTGGACCAGGATGTTCTATCTTGCTCACGCTGAGGAGAACAGAGAGCACCAAACGTCTCAAGGCAAAGGACACGAAAATTGGATTCATTCCTACATACCCAAGGGAACAAGGTGGAGAGATGTTCAAACATCAGAGCTCAGGAAGCTTCACAATAAACATAGTAGATCATTGAATTAGATGCACTCCAAATTCCTCCTAATCTTGAGAACCTACCTTCTTTTATGCTGTGAGATTTTATCTGAGCACCTGTGGAGCCAGGGTTGAACTTAGAAGTTTCCGACTCCTGATACTTTACACAGCTACTGCTCTTTGAATGTGACAGCTGAGCTGACTCCGCAGTCTGACTCCACAGTAATTCCAAATACCTTGGTTCCTACCCTCTAATAATGACTTGCTCCAGCTCTAACACCCAGGTGGAAATGGGGAAAGGTCAGCTAGAGGAGAGAAATTCTATTGACAGACATATAAAGAGAGGTGTTGCTCCTTCTTGAAAATCTCTGTGGTTGAAAAACATGTGGTTTTAAAAACTTAAAACTTTAGGGGGAAATAGGTATAAAAACAAGATCAGAATGAACCTATGTAAGTCCTTATGCATATTCCTCATAGTCATTTAATTAAATACAAGGATAGCATGCTGAGTAAAGAAGATATCAATAACTTACATGTCTTCAAATTTAAGATAGTTGATATTCTATAGTTTATTTCCATTTACCATTCACTATTTGCTAGAACTCTTTTAGAATCTATCTCCCTACTCATCTCAATGAGGTGCTTGAATTTTTATTTTTTAATAGCACATAAGTCATTTGCTTCAGTGTTAAATTCTCCATTCAAATGCTCAGTATCATTCTGCTTTTATATCTTGGAGTCTCCCATTATGAACCCAGATATCTTTGAGTAATTTGAAAATTAAGTTTTTTAGATAGTCCAGCCAGTGTGGCTCAGTTGTTGAGCATCAACCTATGAAACAGGAAGTCACAATTCAATTCCCAGTCAGGGCACATGCCAGGGTTGTGGGCTCAATTCCCAGTGCGGGGCATGCAGGGGACAGATAACCAATGACTCTCATCATTGATGTTTCTCTGTCTCTCTCCCTCCCCATTCTGCTCTGAAATCAATAAAAATATATTTTTAAAAATATTCTTTGGATAACTTGACTAGTAGTCTTGTAATTATCTGACCCTTACTCAGCTCATGACTAATTCATATTATAAAATTTTAAAATTTTTTATTGAATTTATTGGGGAGACATTGGTTAATAAAATTATATAAGTTTCAAGTGTATAACTCTAAAATACATCATCTGTATATTATATTATGCATTCACCATCCAAAGTCAAGTGTCCTTCCATATACTATAAAATTATAATAAGCACATGACATCAGCGTTGTTTTTATACATCTCAGTTTTCTTGCTCCTAAAGACAATGAAGTCCAGTTCTGAGGGTCAAGTTTATTTCTCCTATACTTGCATGAGTTCAGGGATCTTTTATTCAGGTATGCACTCCAGAAACTGAAAGAGAGCCTAGCACATATTAGGTGCTCAATAAATTTGTTTTTTGCATGAAAAACATTCACTTTACCTTAATTTCCTAGCTCCTACCACTAAGTCCCTCTTACTCTATTTATCCCAAAAGGATGAACCAAAATTAACTGGTAGAAAAACACAAGCATCCAAAGCTAAAGGGAAAAATATATAGAAATAAGTATATGTACTAAGATGTAGAGAAAGCAGAATTCACACATAAGGGGAAAAATCTGTATTTCCCTCTACATATAGAATATATAGGCTATAATGCTTAACTAACATCAAGACTTTTGGGTAGCATACAAGAATTACAATTCAGAAAAAGAAAATCTTTAAACTGAATACCAAATTTTACTCTTCTTCATGTTCATTGTCCAGTACTTTTATGGGAATTCGCTATTGGCCATGTCTTTCCCACCTCCACCCTCTACCTCATTGCATGACCTCAGTCTTCTGTTCCATAGAGAGAAGTTCTCCTCAATCTTCCCTTCACTCCTTAAGTCCACAGATGCTGCACTCACCAAACTGCTCCAACTTTGGAGCACAAAAATTTAAATAATATCAAACTAATTCCTCCAAGAAATACAAAAATAAGGACAGATTTTTTCAGAATTAAATGGAATCTTAATATCGCAAGCTGAGGCATTTCGCTTTACTTCACAAGTTTTAGAGCCCTCCAAGGATAAATGAACAAGTATATGACTTGCCATTGCATAAACTAAACTACTCACCAAGGAGTCCTTCCTTTGAATAATGAGCTTTCTCGAAAGACAAATTCTATCTTCCATCCTTAGGACCACAGGATAATAGGATGAGGAGGGGAAAGAGAAGAAAGAGAGAGAGCAGGCCCTGGCCAGTGTTGCTCAGTTGTTAAGAGTGTCAGCCTGCAGAAACCAAGATGGCGGCATAGGTTAACGCCGGAGATTGCTGCCTCGAACAACCAATTCAAATTACACCTAAAAGACGGAACGGACATCATCCAGAACCACAGGAAGGCTGGCTGAGTGGAAGTTCTACAACTAGGAGGAAAGAGAATATCATACCCAGACTCAGAGGAGGTGCAGTGCTGAAGTGAAATTCTCAGATGCAGAGTGCGCGCGGAGCGGGCTGGTGGCGGAGGGCGCGGTTGTTGTTTTCAATCGGGAGGGAGCTTCAGACTCTGAGCTCCAGAGCTGGGCGAGTCTCTAGGGACCCAGACTCAAAAGGGAGAAGCGGGACTGTATGG